TTACCGACTCTGCAGTGACTGCTTTGGACAAGTCCTTTGCAGTTTTCAAGGCAAAGTGTTTCGGAAGTGGTTTGCCAGAGCCTCAAAATGACTTCAGACTATTTCATTAATGGACTGGGGGCCAGATGAAGGTAACTTCATGGACACAAGGGAGTAAACTGCTCTTGTCAAGGAATTATTGTGCTATGGTTAGGTAGAAGTTGGGCTGGCTGAGGAAAGCCAATATTTTGAAAACATAGCCATATTGGGAAAACATTGATATGGGACTATGAAAGGAATACATGGTTAAGAAACTGGTTAACTGAAATGCAGTAATTTATTTGGGGGAAAAAAAAGAAAGAAAAAGAAGAAAAATGAAGTATCTTCAATATATGCAGCAGTGGGTTTAAATTGACCCTATCTGCTAAAAAGATAGCTGGCCTAATCAGCATAGGAACTCATCTAGCAATACAGAGTACAGATGGATTTGGGGCTGTCAATGCAAGGCAGTGAGAGGAAAGTTCCAAATGAACAAGTTAGTTAAGTCCATGTATTTTGTTTGCAGCTGACCCTATGGCTGATTAGCAGATGGTCAGAAGCATGCAGGGCTCTGGTATAGACCAAGAGCATTGCATGTAGGCTGGGAATTTAAGATTTTAGTCCTGGCTGCATCATTTAATACAAAGAAAAACTTCTGTTGAGGAAAGGGATATTTGGAAAAGAACTGCTGGCAGAGAGATTGTTCCAGATGCTCTGAATGACACAATGGTCCTAATCCAGCTCAAGAGCCAGCATATCAGCTGTGCAGTAATTATTAAGCACAGCATATTTTTACCCTGAGGCAAGCAGTGGGGATGTCCTATGGCCTTTGAATTGTTAGTTTCCAGTCTTGTTATCCAAGACTGCATGTTCAATTAATGGTGATTTTTAAGAGCTAAATGTTGAACCCTGGAAGTGGGTTCTCCTTCTCCTGGTGGCCTCCAATCTTGCATGGTGTCTGTCCTTTTAGGCAGTTTTGAGGGAAGAAGAGGACATTGACATTTAGTTTCTGAGAACAACTTCCAAGAGGACATATTTCTTTCTCACTCAGAAGCCTTCTTATAATCTTAATCTTGGGGTAAAGTAGAAAAATCTCTTAAAATGAATTTATCCAGAGATCATTTTCATAGACTACTAGATCAAGGCAAATAGAATTGGGGGGCAATGAATGATCTCAACAACCCTATTCTACAACATACTTAACTGGGCAGTTGAGGGGGAGAGGGAGAGAATTTTGTGTTATGGGAACACCAAAAAGGATGTTCAGGCTTTTAATCCCAAGGGGTTTACATTTAGATCAAAAGGGACCCAGTCAGCTACACCCAGTCACTCATAAGAAAGGAAAACTCATATTTTATCTGAGATCACACAAGTGTAAAATGACCTTTAAGTTGGAAATAATTTTAAGATAACAAGATTAAAAATAAAACCAACCCAACTGGTTAATCACCAAAGATAATGAAAGCTTTTTTTTTCAGTTGTTACATAAGGCCATTCACTTCAAAACACATTAATTAACTAAACAAATGCCACTGCAAAAATATGCCTTTAGCAGGAAAGAATGATTCTGACATCAACAGTATGACTTATAAACATTCATAAATGCCTTATGAATGTTATTCCTTTTTTAAATAATGCAAATATTTTGTTTAGGTATGTGTGGGTAGAAGGTTCATGTCTACCTTTATATAGTTTTACATCAGTTGGTACAATATTAATAGATTGACATATCAAGAGATGTAGTTAAAATTGTGAGGTTTGAGGAAACATGAATCTATAGAGCAGTGTTTCTCAATCTTAGCAACTTTAAGACATATGGACTTCAACTCCCAGAATTCCCTGGCCAGC